TTAATAGTAATGATACAAAAAAAAATATAATGATTATAACAATGGTGATATTAAAGATAATAATAATAGTGCTAATGCTAATGATAATACTAATGATCATAATATTAGTAATAATTATAAAAAATGCTAATGGTGATGAAAATGATGAAAAGATAAAAACATTGTAATATAATAATGATAATAGCGATGATAATGATAATGATAATGATGATGAAATAATAGATCACCAATCATAATTACTGTAATCATTAGAATGATAATAGTAGTGATAATAATAATAATAAAGCTAATAATGATAATGGTACTACACCTGCTAACAGTAATAATGATAACAATGATATTCATAAATTATGTTTTATAATGGTACTAATTCTTATACAACACTACTGCTACTGCTAATAATATTGGTATAATGATAATAATGATAAAAATGATAAAGATAATGATAATAATAATAATAATGCTAATATTGCTAATAATAATGCTAATAGTGATAATAATAATAATAATAATGATAATAATAATGATAATACTAATAATGATACTAATAATACTACTAATAATATTATCATCATTATTATTATCATCATTGCTATTGTTCTTATTGTTCTTATCATTGGTACTATTTTCATTATTATTATCATTACTATTGTTCTTCTTATTATTGATATCATTATCTTGTAATGTTATCGTTATCATTATCATTATCATCGTCATTATTGTTATTATCATCATTATCATTATAATTATTATTTTTACCACTATTGTTATTCTGTTATTATCATTATTATCATCGCTATCATTATCATTATTACTATTATCATTATTACTGTGATTATAATTTTAGTCGTTATTTTCATTATCAGTAAGGTTATTATTGATATTAGTAATATCATATTTTGTTAACATGATCATCTTCATCATAATAATATTTTAGTTTGCTTCCATTTGTTACAATGGATATTCTTGGCGTGACAGTCTGTCTGTTTCATTTTGCTTCTAAGTTATCTCCTGTGTGCAAGGAATGGCCGGGGTTACCATCCACTGGCGGCGAGGGATTTGAACGCAGGTCAGCAAAGATTGTTAAACGAGATCGCACACAGACAGAGGAGAGAGAGAGAGAGAGAGAGAGAGAGAGAGAGAGAGAGAGAGAGAGAGAGAGAGAGAGAGAGAGAGAGAGAGAGAGAGAGAGTAAATAAGTAAAAATGTAAATAATTTAGCTTTATTCTATTTGTTACAAGGGTTACTCTTGGTTTGACAGGCTATCTGCTTATATTTGCTTCTAAATTACCCCCTGCATGCAAGGAATGGCCGAGGCTACCATCCACTGGCGGCGAGGGATTTGAACGCAGCTCAGGAAGATTGCTAGACGAGATCGCTACTGTTGCACCACACAACACTAGGCATTGTTATCATAACTGCTGTTATCATTGTTGTTATCTTTATTATTATCTTTAATGCAGTTTTTATTTGTTGTATCATTTTTATTTTTACTATCATTATCATTGCTATAATTAGTTATTAGTTATAGTATTAGAATTGGTATTAGTAGAAATTGTAGTAATATTAATAATAGTAGTCCAGTAGTAGTAATAGTAACAACAAAAGAATTATAATCATATCACTACTCTTATCATTATTGTTAACGTTAACATTATCGTTTTATCATTGTAATTAATATTACTATTAGTATTACCATTATTATCATTATAATCATTATCAGCATTAATATAGTCTTCATTATTACTAATATTTGTATCATAATTATCATCAGTAGTAGTATTCAAAGTAGTAGTAGTAGTATTACTGCCCTTTTTATCATTATCATTATTATCGTTGTTATCATTATCATTACGAGTAACATTCATAAACATCACCATCATTGTTATTAATGATACTATTATAATAATTTCCATCATATTGCTTTTCATTACAACATTTATCATTATTGCTGCTTTTATTATACATCACTATCATCATTACTTTTTCGTTCGTTTCGGTATTACCACATTTTCGTTCTAGTTCTTCAAATAGTGATGATGCCAATAGAGCCAGGCAGTGTGGCACACGCACATATGTATGTATGAGTGTGTAAGTGTACATTATGTATTTATATACAGATAAATACACACACACACACACACACACACACACACACACACACACACATATTTATATATATATATATATATATATATATATATATATATATATTATATATATATATTGTGTGTGTATGTATGTGGGTGAGTGTGTGAGTGTGTGTGTGACTCTGTGATTATCTATTTCTATAAGGTAAAAGTGTCTAAATAAGCCTTGATTGCCCTTTTTAATCATTGACAATAAGCACCATCATCATCTGCTTTTGAATTTCTAGATTAAAATTGTGCGAATAAGGCCAATCATGCCGTGTGACTTTTTATCGCCGTAATTATACTATCAACAGTTAATCACGCTGTATTCACAACCTTTCGTTAATGCCACTGTCCGTTTCATTAACTTTTCATTATCATCATTTCATTGCCATCTTAACTATTTCAATTTCTCAGGTCTCGCTTTTTCTTTACGAGATACCAAACGTCGATGATTTTTTTTTTCTTTCTCTTTTTTATCATAAGTTTTCGTCCCTGTTTCTCTCTCTCTCTCTTTTTTATCGTTATTGTGAACCTTCAAGCGCAGATTGGCTACGATGAATTGCATGTCCTTGAGCCATGCTATTGGGAAACGTCAGCCTTGTGTCCGTAACGAAGTGAAACATTTGTATTTGAAAGTGGCCACTTTTGGCGGGTTAATTGTCGTGGTCTTTCCCATTCTTTTAATCTTTTTTTGCTTCTTTTTCTCCTTTTTTTTTTTTTTTTTTTTTTTTTTTTTTTTTTTTTTTTTTGCAAGCGAGAGAAAAAATGCATTTTGCGGTTACGCGGACAATCTCCAAGCCGGCAAATTTATGGAAAGAGGTGATGAAAATGAAGTATTTAAGGTAAGAAACAACTGTTATTAGCGCCTACTCCCTTTTTTTATTACCTTCCTAATTGTTAATTACACCGTACAGCCACAGCGTTGTTTGCATATTATTGAATCAAGGAGTTTTTTATTATCTTTCCTTCATCTGCAATCATATAGAGAAATAATAACTATAAATCTATAAACGAAACCCTCAATTTTTTTCAGCCTGGTGATTTCAACGCGACCACAAGAAATGATCCGAAACGCTCGCTCTTGATAACCAGACCAATCAGACGCCTAAAGTATTGCCCTCAAACCCGCTAGTTATCGAGCACTTAGTCGCTCACACTGCCCATTTACTGCTACCCAAACCCTTAGGCTGATCTATGTGCTTGGTGTCAACAACGCAGAGGAAGTTACATCTATATATGGCAGATTCGTTATAAGTACTCTATATATATGCTTTGCACGTTTTCTTTGAGAGTAGTTATTTGTCTTTTTTGTGTGTGTTTGTTGGATGGGGGGGAGGGAAGGAAGGGGGAATAAATTGCCGATGTTGCTTTCATTAGTGTATTTATTATCATACAATTTTACATGAGAAAAATGGTTGACTAGATAAACATTTATGTACAATTCAGTAATACTGTAATGTCTTTGAGTCAAGTCCAATATACCTCTTGAATATAACAACTTAATTTTTCTCTCTTCGCTGAACATAAACTAAAAAAAAGAACGTTGGACTGAATGCGACGCAATTCGTCTCTCCTTCGTCAGATTTCAACATTGATACAAACTTAACATGTCGTTATATTTTTGATACATGGCAACACATCACAATACAGCTCACAGCATCAGTTTCACATTTGTCTTTTCGTAAACGCCAGTTTCGTGAGTTTCTCGTGCAAGAGAGCCATCTTGGAAGCTGCGTTCTCTCAAGGCTGAGTTCGCACGCTCGGAGATCCAACACTGGCACTGGGCGGGGCACTGGGCGGGCACTGGGCGGGCACTGGCACGGCGGGTCTTCGTGGGCGGCTCGAAGGAAGCGTCGGCGGGCGGCTGGCACTGGGGCGCAGGGTTCGATCGCCAGCGTGGCTTGGCACTGTCTTGAGCTTGCTTGGTGCGAAGGGGGTCCTTGGGGACGACGCTCGTCCTCCTTCACGCCCTCGCGAAGGAGGAGGAGGAAGCACAACCTCGCTGGAGGGTCACGCGGCCTCCACGCCGGCCGGAGGCTATATCAGGAGGTCCGCCAGCGTGGTGATGTACGTGTGGGCCATCTGCAGCGTGTCGTACTTGGACAGCTTCCGGTCGTCGCACAGCTGGGGCAGCACGGAGCGCAGGCGGTCGAAGGCCTGGTTCAGGTTGTCCATGCGGCGGCGCTCGCGGGCGTTGGCGGCCAGGCGCCGCTTCTTCCGCACGCCGTCCGTCACCTCGCGCCCCGACCGCTGCTTCCTGGCGCCGCAGCGGCTGCTCGAGCGCGAGCTCTTCTGCGCCTTGCTCGGGGCGTGCGAGCCCGGGGCGCTGCCCGCCCGCGGCTGCCGCTGCTGCTGCTGCTGAAGCTGCTGCTGCTGAGAGTCGCAGCGCTTGTTCTCGATAGACAGCAGCGGCGAGGCGGGCGCGGGCTTGACGCTGGCGGCGGCGGGGCTGGCGGGGATGCTGGAGGGCCGGAAGCCGTCCGTCCGGTACTGCGGAGGGCTGCTCCTCTGGGCGGGCGGCGCGGCCTTGGACGGCAGGAGGCCCTGCTTGCCCAGGAGGCCGGGGGAGGCGGCGGACGCGACGGTCGTTCCTGCGGCGGTGTACAGCTGCGGGAACTCCTGCAGGACGCCGAGCGGGGCGGAGGGCGGCCGCTGGGGCTGCGCCATGGTGGTGAAGGGCGCCCACGCGTCTGTCGGGGTGGCCGAAGGACACAGCCTGGTGGGACTCGGGGGCGGCGTGGACGCAGGGCTGAAGGAGCTGTAGCCGCTGTCGGGCGAGGGCGGGCGGGCGCTGCACAGGGCGGTGTTGTAGGCGTCGGCGAAAGCATGCACCATCTGCTGGTAGACGAGACCAGCGCCATCCAT